CAAAAGGTACAAAAAATGTGAATCACCAAAGTGACAAACAATAATAAATTAATACAAACTGGATTATGTGGAAATATTCTGTCTCAGAAATATATCTGAAAAAAAATTTCAGATATATTTCTGAGACAGAATATTTCCACATAATCCAGTTTGTATTAATTTATTATTGTTTGTCACTTTGGTGATTCACATTTTTTGTACCTTTTGTTTTTTTTTCTTTTTTCACTATTGTGTTTTAAGTGTTTGTAAGGGTACACTTTAAAACCTTGGGTACTCTATATAGCATAGCACGAACAGTTAACTTCTTGTTTTTTTCAGAGAGTACACGAGATACTCAAATTGGAGAACAAATCAGCTATCTTCTTCTTCCTCAAAGTTCTCCAGAGGTAGAGGTTCCAGACCTGATAATAAGGGATTCTGAAGGTGCGCAGGTCCAGCCAGGGATAGGAGGTAGTCTCCTAAAGTTCTTCCCCGTCTGGATCAAAAACTTCTCTGATTCATAGGTACTGTCAATTATAAAAGAATGATACCTCATAGAATTTTCAAGTATCCCACAACCTACCTTCAAGCAATCTCGCATGGCAAGAGGGATAAATGAAGTAGCTATGATGGCTTGTATCAAGGAACTAACCCTACAAGAGGTTATTGTGGAGGTTCGGAAGGCAGAAAAGTTCAAAGGCCACTATTCAACCGTGTTTCTGGCTCCAAAGCCTTTAGGCAAATGGAGACTGATTCCGGACCTAAAGGTCTTAAACTCCTACCTACAGATCAAGTCATTCAGGATGGAGTCCATTTCCAGTATTGTCGGCAACATAAAGGAGGGAAGTTGGATGACGTCCATAGACCTCAAGGACGCATATTATCAGATTCCCATTCACCCATCGCATGTAAAGTTTCTGCGTTTTTACATATGGGGGAAGCATTACCATTTCAGGGGACTTCCCTTTGGGCTCAGTCTAGCTCCAAGGACGTTCTCGAAGGTTCTCATTACACTGGTTGCCTTTCTGAGGTTGCAGAGGATAGAGATATTCCATTACCTCGACGATATTCTTATTGTGGGTTCCTCGGCCCAGGAAGTGTTACTTCACACTCAAACTGCTATTCACTCTCTACAGGCTCACGGATGAATGCTGAACTTAGGGAAGAGCTCTCTGATACCATCCCAAAAGATTATTTTCCTGAGATATTGCTGTAGCAACTCTCTCTCTTTCGCCAGAAAGAATGACAAAGAATTGCAAGGAGATTACGGATATTCAAGCCTATCAGTCCATTTCTGCCAGAAGCTATATGAGCCTCTTGGGGTCCCTGACGTCCATGATAGGGCTGGTAAGATGGGCCCATTGGGAAATTTGACCTATCCAGATGGGGTTTCTACGGCAGTTCAACAAGCACAATCCGAACTGGGATCAAAAAATTGTTCTTATGAAGTATGCAAAGAATCAGCTGAAGTGGTGGAAGAACAAGAAGAATCTGAGTCAGGGGTGGAGGAACCGAACTGGTTAATAGTTACTACGGACGCAAGCTTACAAGGATGGAGAGCTCATCTGGGGTCTCTTAGGAAACAGGGAAGGTGGCCCAACAAGGAGAGAAAAATGCATTCAAACTTAAAAGAGTTGAGAGCTATTCTCATGGCCCTTCAAGGGTTCCTTCCCTTAATACAAGATGCTTGGATTATGATTCAGACAGACAACAGGGCAGTGGCGTCATACGTGAACCACCAAGGTGGTACTCGGAGCAAGCTTCTGTTGAGGGAACTAACTCCTCTTATGTCTCTGGCACAGAATCATCTTCAAGGATTAAAGGCAGTATATCTACCAGGTCCTCAAAATATTTTGGCAGATTACCTGAGCAGATCAAGTATTCTGCCAGGAGAATGGAAGCTACATACAGAAATATTCCAAGCAATAACTCTTCGGTGGGGCATACCACAGATCGACTTAATGGCTACGAACAGGAACACTCAGGTACCAAAGTACTTCTCTCTTCTTCCAGACCATCGGGCAATGGGTCAGGATGCATTGTCTCAAATATGGGATTTCGATCTGGGATATGTGTTTCCTCCCTTACCGATAATTCATCGCTTACTAAAGAAAATTTGGATGGAGAATCAAGTGATAATAGCTATCATCCCGTTCTGGCCAAGGAGGCCCTGGTTCCCTCTCCTGTGCAAAATGTCCTTGGAGGAACACTGGCGGCTTCCAATCAGGAAAGATCTGCTAAGCCAGGGTCCTGTCTACCATCCCAACTCCGTACATCTGAGATTGGGGGCTTGGCTTTTGAAAGGGAACGGCTCCTGCAAACAGGATTGTCTGGGGCAGTAACGAATACGCTTCTTCTGTCTAGGAAGAAATCTACGTCCAAGTGTTATCACCGTATATGGGAGTCATTTAAGTCCTGGAATCTTGACAAAGGTCTAGACTTCTTGAAACCTGATCAGAACCAGATTTTGGAGTTCTTACAGGTTGGATTGGATAAGGGTTTAAGCCTGAGTACCTTGAAGGTGCAGTGTTCGGCACTATCGACCCTCTGTAACTACTCTTGGGCTTCAAATCCCCTGATTGCCAGGTTCTTTAAGGCTACCATTCGCATTAGACCTCCTCTGTGCAGCTATGCTCCTCCTTGGGATCTTCCTTTGGTCTTGGATGCCTTGTCCGACATTCCTTTTTCTCCTCTAGAGAACTAGGATTTATCTTCACGTATAAATCTCTGTTTTTGTTGGCTGTTTTGTCAGCCAGAAGAATCTCGGAGGTGAGAGCTCTCTCCTGTGCAGATGACTATATTCAGGTTTTCCACGACAGAGTGGTTTTACGTCCGAAGTTGGAATTCCTTCCTAAAGTTGTCTCAAAATTTCACTGACACCAGGAGATAGTTCTGCCTTCTTTTTTTCCTGAACCTTCCTCGGAGCTGGAGGTGAAGCTTCATAATCTGGATATTAGGGAATACTTGATCAGGTATTTGTCTGTTTCTGGTACATTTCGTAAGACGGATTATTTGTTCATTATTCCTGGAGGCTCCAGGAAAGGTGAAGCTGCTTCCACTTCTACACTACGTAGATGGATTTCCAACATCATCACTAAAGCTTACTCTCTGAAAGGTGTTTCTCCTCCAAAACGGATTAAGTCTCATTTGACTAGGTCTTTGGCTACTTCATGAGCTAATTGGGCAGAGGTGTCCCCTGATGACATATGCAAGGCAGCAACGTGGTCTTCTCCTATGACCTTCATAAAAAATTATAGGCTGGATGTAGCCTCTTCTTCTACTAAGTTTGGCAGAAGCGTGTTGGCTTCTGTTAGCTTGGCAAAATAAAATTAAATGTTATTGCAGTTAAAATGTGTGGATTAATTTTCCCAACCCTTCTTGCTAGTTTGCTTGGGTATTACCCATAAGTGATGCTGCCATGATTAGCCAGGAATACCGAAATTTTGTTTCATACTTACCAGTAAATTTATTTTCCTGGCTATTTTTCATGGCAGCATCAGGTTCCCGCCCTGGGTTTTGTCTGAGCTTTTCAATTGGACTGAGGTATAGAGGGAGGAGGAACCCTTTATGCCTACAGCCTTGTTAACTGTTTCATTGTTTTCTGTCCTGATCCGGCTGAGGGTGGAGCTAACCCATAAGTGATGCTGCCATGAGAAATAGCCAGGAAAATAAATTTACTGGTAAGTATGAAACAAAATTTTGGTATTATTGAATGGGTGCAGGCAGAGGCATAACTAGAAACCACAGGGCCCTGGTGTGAAAATTGCCCCAGGCCCTCATCGTGTTTGATCCCACCCATGTGTCTCATTTCCTCTCCTTCACAGCCCCTCGATTTGTCTCATTCCCTTTCCCCCCAGACCCTCTATAAGTCTCATTCTCTCACTCTCCCTCAATTTGTCTCATTACCTCTCTCTCCCCCCATTTGTCTCATTCCCATGCTCACACCCCCATTTGTCCCATTCCCTCTCTCAGTCCTATTTCCCTTACCACTCCTGTACCTTCTGACTCTGTGTAGCATGGCTGAGCAGTATCCAGTCTGACCGGAAGTGCTCTCTCAGTGAGAACTTCCTGAGAGGCCACTCTACACACAGAGACAAGCAGACAGGGGAGCAGCACAGCGCTGACGGGCCCAGTCACAGCTGCAATCCCTGCAACCATGGTTGGTATGCCACTGGGTACACTTTACTATTACTTGGACCAGTGCAGCTTAGACTTCTTGTCCCATATTTATAAATGGGTTAGTGATGTCTTCCATAACACAAGGAGAGAATATTTCAAGTTCTTGAAGATGAAAATACATATATAGTAAATTGGGAAAAAAATCTCTATTCCAAGTTCTGTTTATTGCTGATGATATTGTGGATTTTGAAATAACATATATAGTTTTGATACTGAAAAGAAAATCTTTGTTTTAATAAATCTAATTTATGAAGAATTACAGAGAGTGGATTAAAAAACAAACAAACATCACATGCACTGTCTCTTCTGGTATAAAGGAAGTCTTTATTTGGAATCAGGAAGTAAAAAAAAAAAAAAAAAAAAGTTTTGGCTCCTACATGAGCCTTTGTCAAGTTAACGTTTATTAATGTTACGGTACTTATGTATGTGTGGAAATTTGTAAATGTGCATATTTGCAAATTATCAATATTGCAAGCAGGATTCTTTTGAATGCTTTCATTTTAGTGTATACATTCCCCTGCCTTTCCCCACCACTTTGTAGAGCATTCTAAATGTAATATTTTGACAGTGTCACCCTTCGTGTTATGTAGCATTTTAAAGCTTTTACCTAGTGTTTAGTGGTGTATTTTTTATGGTGATTCTTGTACCCTTAAACAGCAATTTGTTGCCGTGATTCATGGATTATTGCAACACAGTCTGCGTTCCAGTTGGCAGAGAGTTTAATCACTTTGGCATGTGTGCCAAAAGTGTTTTTATAAAGACATAGTTGAGACATCTTGGCAAAATGGATACCAGTTATAAAGAGAAATTAGGCATATGGGATTATACCTGCCTGGAAGAAGAATTAGGTAGATCTTGTCCCATATGCCCAAACCTTCTTTCAGAACTACCTGAAAGAAGGTTTGGGCATATGGGACAAGATCTGCATGTTGAGTGCGTAAAGGACAATATCTTACTTGAAGGATTGCTGAGTACATTTTGTAGCATTGGAAAAGGGACAAATTATGTAGTGGACCAGGTTTAAAATTCAAGCCTATGGGTGAACATCACTGTTTTTGATTCAATAGTTAAGTATAAATCAATATAGTATGTCACTATATTCATGAAAATTTTTTGAGTGTGTGACAGTCTTAATTATATATATATGATGTCATTTGTCATTCAAAAAATATTATTTTGATCTGTCCAATACAAAATATATGTATTAATACTTCCCATGGATAATCAATCCATATGTCCATGGAAGAAATAAAAAGAAAGCAAATGGGTTTCAGACCAGTGAGATGGAAATTAAATAGCCCCCCAGGAATGTTTTACCTTGCAGCAAAGCTTCCATAATATGTAATACTCGCTCCAATGGCATATAACAAATCATTGCAAAGATTAAGAAAAATAGCTCTAAAAAAAAAAAAAAAAAGATTAAAATGTATATCATCCACCCTTGTTTATTTGTTAAAAAATGTTAGAAAAGTACCTGAACATAATGATATATTTCACAGTTAAATAATGACTAAGCTCAATGTTGTAATCCACTTGGTAAATTTTTAACAGAAAAATAAAGCATTTCTGTTTGGTTTACATTGAATGGGGATTATATCTGGTCTCTTGCTCCTCTGCACTTAATAAACATCCATATAATATTGGGGAAATAGATGGATTTAAAGGGAAACTTTAATTTCCAAGAATTTTTATATTGTGTTTACCTATCCACTATATTTCAAAAACATGTGTTTGGGGTAATGGGGTTGACAAATAAAATTAAATGTAGCAACCACACTACTGTATCCTAAAACTGTGCACCTCATTCTAGGCTCCCTCTCAGTCATTGTTATAAGCAATGCCCTTTTTTGTCATTGAATATAATATGTAGAGGGGGAAAAACGAAAATGATGCTGCAGTGTGTCCTCCTCTTGTGCAACGTGTGTCCTGGGTTAATGGTAAATCATGCAAACACTTTTGGGTTAGTGATCTAGACATGTTAATCACCTGTTTATTTATTAACTTCTCTTTAACTTGATATTCACTGATAAACCATAACAACCACCTGCATAATATAGTCACCCTCTGATGCATGGACTCCACAAGACCTTTGAATTTGTCCTGTAGTATCTAGCACCATGACATTAGATCCCTTAAGTTCTGCAAGTTATGAGATGGGGCCTCTGTAGATCGATTTTGTTGTTCCAGCACATCCCACAGATGCTCAATCAGATTGAGATATTGGAAATTTAGAAGCTAAGACAACACCTTGATCTCTTTGTCAAAACCATTCATAAACTAATTTTGCAGTATGGAAGGCTGCATCCTGCCGAAAAAGCCATTGTCTGGTCTGCAACAATCTCTAGGTAGATAGTAGGTGTCAAAGTAACATCCACATAAATGCCAGGATCCAAGGTTTCCCTAACAGAACCTTGCCGAGAGCATAATACTGCTTCCACCAGCCTGCCTTCCTCCCATAGTGCATCTATAAATTATGTAAATACACTCTACCATCCACATGATCTAAAAGTAAATGGAATTCTTCAGATCAGGCAACCTTCTTCCATTGCTCCATGACCCAGATCTGATGCTCTTGTTCCCATTGAAGGCGCTTTCGGTGGTGGACAGGGGTCATCATGGACACTCTGACTGATCTGCGGCTACACAGCCTCATATACAGCAAACTGCAATGCACTGTGTGTTCTGACATTTTTCTATCATAACCAGCATCAAGATTTTCAGCAATTTGAACTACAGTAGCTCTTCTGTGTGATCAAACTAGACAGACTAGCCTTTGCTCACCACATGCATCAATGAGCCTTGGTCCCCCATGACCCTGATGTGATTTAACCAGTTGTCATTCCTTGCACCACTTTTGGTAGGCACTAACCACCACATACCAAGAATACCACACAAAACTTGTGGAGACTATTGGAGATGCTCTAAGCCAGTCATCAAACCATCACTATTTGGCCCCTGTCAAAGTCATTTGGATTTTTTTGCTTGCCCATTTTCCTGCTTCCAAGACATGAAATTCAAGAACTAACTGTTCACTTGCTGCCTAATATATTCCACACATTGACCCTTGATAGGTGCCACTGTAACGATATAATGTCAGTGGTTTGAATGTTGTAGCTAATCAGTTTTTAGTGTGTACTAGTAAAAGTCTTCACATTGGACAGAAATATTGATTGTGTGCACAGATTATACTAACTGCTACGGAATAAAGCAGTGGGTTATAATTCACTGTTACAAGACTTGTGGGTATATTATCTATTCTTTGTATTTTGTGACCAGAATTAGCATTTGGGCTATATTAGTGCATCAACTGCAAGGTTGAACATATTTTTTTTATTGATTTTATATATTTTTGCTGCATCTATCTATCTCATCTATCTATTGATAAAAATTAATTGTTGATAGAATACTAAATTATTATATCTGCCCCTGTTTTTCTTGGCGTATCGTTAACGCATCAAGCTGCTTATACAGCTGAATCCAAGTATTTGCATGTTTGAGTGAATCCTTTGGGAATATCATAAAGCAATGTTTCAGATTTTTCACGCATAATGCATCCTTCATGAATTCAAAGAGTTAAATATTGTGCTGACAAAGCATCTACCTTCTGCATGAATTGGTTTAGACAGTATGTTTTGTTTTATGGTGGGTTATATTACCGTTTTTAATGGTTAATTCATGAATGTATCTGAAAGATGCCAAGGCCTCTGAAACATTAAGGGCTTATTTTTCCTATGTTTACCTATTTGTTTTTCTGTTCAAATCAAAGCTGTCTTCTGCCTTCATTCCTAAAATGTCATGCTGCAAGTGGAAAATCCTGAGCAGATTTTGAGCAGTGGAGAATTAATTTACATTTTATCAAAATAACAATACTCACAAGGTAATGCCTAAGTCTTCCCCACACCTACTTATTTTTCTAACTTTATTAATATTATATTTATTGATGGAAACTGAGCATGTTGCTTACTGGTCTAGTGCTACAATTATACCTGTATGCAATAAATTACAATTAAGAGATGCTATACTTTAGAGGGTATATGCACTAAACACTGAATTGTACTGAAATAAACTCAACATTAATGAATGTTTGACTATTCTATGCTAAATTTTAGAATATTATAATAAGCAAACAATTATGCTTTCTGGGTGAAAAGATTAAACATCATAGTTTGCCCTGTACCTCAAACCCCACATCCTATGGCATGCTCTTACAAAACATCTTCCATCCATTACATTACAAGAACCTAAATTTCTGCCCCCCCTGCCCACCGCCACCACTAATATTTCATCTTTTCTGCTAACCCCAAAGATTGATGTCTCCATTCTAAGGTATTGCGCTGTAACATTAGCTTCTAAACTGCCTAGATCAGTTTTGTGTGTTTTTTAGTTAGAATAGTTCTTTGTTTCTTTAAAGTCGCAAGACGGTTGACTACATTGGATTAAGTGAATATTAAAACAAATATATATTTTCCTAAAAATAAGGGTAGCTGAAACATATAACCCTGGCTATTATAGAAATCTAACCCTGTGATGCTTAACTGGGTTTAGGCATAATGAGAGATAGAGTTAATCTAAAGCTAGATGATATACCATTTAGCTACAACTGCTATATAGGGGATGGTTATGGCACCACATTTACCCAAGGCATAAGGTGAATGGCAGGATTATTTTGATAGTAAATCCATCCCAAATATAATTTATTTTATTAATAGCTGCATTGATCTACATGTAGTGTATTTGAATTGTACTAGAGATAGCTTGGTACTCCCTGCTTGTAATAAGGGGTCAACTGGATAATGTATTGGGTGATACAGGGTTGTAATTCTTCCATGTTAGATAAGCAAGCTCATGTTGCATGCATACATATCTCCATAGAGCAGACAGGAGCTATTTATTCTTAGCACATTTTTCTTCATTATAAGTCACTTTTTTAGTTGATTTTGAAGGAAGCATATTTCATAAATTGATTTAAGCTCCTCCCAAATCAAACATTATAACATGCCCTATGTCAAACCCTATCATGTTCAATGATTCAAATTATAAGAATAAATCTTTGAATGATTTGTTATGTTTATAAACTCCTTGCAAGCTTTATTAATCCACAATTATGCAGGATTGAACATTAAAACCCTGAATGGGGCCAAACTGAGAACCCAGGGCTTTTCAGGAACTCAACTGGGGTATCAGCCCAGGACAACCCTTACTGGAAATGCCCCTGGACAAACCTCAAGCAGATTCTTTGTTTGGAGAATTTTTAATGAGGTGTTTGCTACTTCTTGGGCTCATATAAGACTACCATAAACATGTAATTAACAATATTGATACAGCACTCTCCTGGATCCCATGGTGCAACCGGGCCTGAGGTTAGCCAATCCTCATAATGTGAATTGCAAAAAAGTAATGATGGTGCAAGCACTTGACAAAGACCCCGTTGGCCAAAACTTTGTTTGGATTTTGTTCCAATAAATCTGCACACTGGATTGAACTTGAGTGCCTGGACAATCATTACTTTTTTGCAAATACCATAAACATGTAGTCTCAAATAATGGAGGAGGTATAGAACAAGGTAAATATAAAGAGGTGCTTTTTTCAGCAACCAGAAAGTCACTGTCTGGTTGCTGCAGTAAAAGAACATTTGTATCTGCATATGTGCCTCCTCCATTATTTATGAGTACATGTCTGTTACAGTGTCATTGTGAAACACTACAAGATCACCATCTTTAATTTATCCAGTAGGATTTTTAATTCAGAGGAGATCTCTTTTAAAGAAGTGTTTAAAATGTGCCCCCACTTCAAAAAAACTCTAATTTTAATGTATTTCTTGATTTACACAAATTTATACGTAAGATTTCTGCTTAAAAAGTTTTTTTATGGACAAAAACCCTTCTCTACAAGTTGCAGAACAGAAATATGTACACACTGGATTACATCC